CCTACTTCCATGTCCTGGTGTCCCCTGCCCTCACATCCTCGTGTGCCCTATCCGCAGATCCTCGTGTGCCCTCTCCACACATCCTGGTGTCCCCTGCCTGCACATCCTGGTGTCCCTCACATCCTAGTGCCCTGCCTGCACATCCTAGTGTCCCTCAGATCCCGGTGTCCCCTGCCCTCACATCCTCGTGTGCCCTATCCGCACATCCTGGTGTCCCCTGCCTGCACATCCTGGTGTCCCTCACATCCTAGTGCCCTGCCTGCTCATCCTAGTGTCCCTCAGATCCCGGTGTCCCCTGCCCTCACATCCTCATGTGCCCTATCCGCACATCCTGGTGTCCCCTGCCTGTCCCCCTGAGGCTTCCTTGGGGATTTATCCCTCTCCAGCCCACGTTCACCACATGGATCCCCTGATCCCTGCTGCCGTGGCTCTGTTTTTCCGCAGCCAGCCCACCTACGAGTACGGGGGAGAGCTCATCCTCGGGGGCGTCGAGCCCGGGCTCTTCCAGGGGGACATCACCTGGGCGCCGGTGACACAGAAGCTTTACTGGCAGGTGGCACTTGAGGAGTGAGTGGTGTTTGTACCTCTGGCCACCACCCCCTGCTCCAGCTGCTGCTTTGCAGGGCTCCAGGCTCGATGCTTTGGGTTTAGGGGCCCAAAGCCACGTCCTTGTCCCCGTTGTCCTGCCAGGGTTGCCATCGGGCAGTCGGTGACCAGCTGGTGCAGCCAGGGCTGCCAGGCCATCGTGGACACGGGGACATTCCTGCTGACCGTGCCCCAGGAGTACATAGAGAGCGTCCTGGAGGCCCTGGGAGCCCAGGAGACCAGCTACGGGGTGAGTGTGGGGATTTTGGGGGGTCTGCGTGGGAACCAGAGCCCTGGGCTCGACCAGGTCCCACAAAAGCCACGTGGCACCTGCAGGGAAAGGGACTGCAGGGGTGACAGGAGCACGAGGGGACATCGGGCTGAGCAAGGTGGGGATGCTCAGCCTGGAGAAGAGAACATTGTGTGGAAACATCACATCCAGGGTCTGAAGGGGCTACAGGGAAGCCAGAGAGGGACTTGGGACAAGGGCCTGGAGTGACAGGACAAGGGGGGATGGCTTCGGATTGAAAGAGAGGAAATTTAGGGTTGATGCAGGGAAGGAATTCCTCCCTGTGAGGGTGGGGAGGGGCTGGGATGGATTTCCCAGAGCAGCTGTGGCTGCCCCATCCCTGGCTGGGACACCCTGGCACAGTGGGAGGTGTCCCTGCCATGGCACTGGGTGGCACTGGGTGGCACTGGGGGGGCTTCAAACTCCCTCCCACCCAAACCTTTCCATGATTCCGCGGTGTGGCGCTGCCGGGGGCGGAGTGCGTGTCCCCCCGTGTCCCCTCCGTGGCAGCGCCCCGTGTCTGTGTCCCCCCAGTACGCCGTGGACTGCAGCGACACCCCGGGCATGCCCCCCATCACCTTCGGCATCGGCGGCGCCCGCCTGGCGCTGCCCCCGTCCGCCTACGTCCTGAACGTACGTGTGGGACTGATCCCGAGAATTCCGCAGGGATCACCGGGCACCGGGAACATCCCGAGGGTTCCCCAGGGATCACCGGGTACTGGGAACATCCCAAGGGTTCCCAGGGATCACCGGGCACCAGGAACATCCCGAGGATTCCCAGGGATCACCGGGCACCAGGAACATCCCGAGGGTTCCCAAGAGTTCCCCAGGCATTGGGAACATCCCAAGCATTCCTGAGGCACCGGCAACATCCCAAGAATTCCAGAGAATTCCCGAGGCACCGGGAACATCCCAAGATTTCCCAAGAGCTTCTGAGGCACTGGGAACACCCTGAGAATTCCCCAGGCACCAGGAACATCCTGAGCGTTCCCGAGGCACCGGGAACATCCCAAGAATTCCAGAGAATTCCCGAGGCACTGGGAACATCCCAAGCATTCCCGAGGCTCCGGGAAGAGCCCGTAGCTCCGTGGCCGGCAGCGCTGCTCTCCCTGTGCTGCTGGAGGTGCTGAGCCCCCGTTATTCCCTCTCCAGAGCAATGGCTACTGCACCCTGGCCATCGAGGTCACCTACCTGCCCTCCCAGGACGGGCAGCCCCTCTGGATCCTGGGAAACGTGTTCCTGAAGGAATATTACACCGCCTTCGACATGGCCAACAACCGCGTGGGCTTCGCCCTGTCGGCCTAGAGGAAGCAAATTCCAGCCCCTCTCCCGGCCCGTGGAGTGCCACAGCATTCCCAGGGACCTTTCTGCTCCTTCCCGTCCCCATCCCTCGGGATTTGTGTGTGTGTGCCCACGGATTTATCCTGGAACAAATAAATTCTGCCATCCCGAACAGTCTCTGAGCTCCGGGGTTTGTGGGGAGCAGCCTGAGGGGTTCTGTGGCTCACAATTCCTTGCTCCAGCAAGGAAAGTGCTGGGATGAGCTCCAGGCCCTGGGATAAAGCAGTGCCCACCTCCAACCCTCGGGAAACCTCCCAGGGGAAGCCCCTGAGGGTCCCTGCAGCTGGAAAAGCTTTGCCAAAGCTCTGTGGTGTATCCAAGTGGAAATGTGAGGCCACGAAGTGAGTCATGACACCAAATGACCCCTGAGCCCCAAAATGGAGCTGTTCAGCCTGGAAAAACTGCACTGGAATATCGGGAATTGGGGGGAGGTGTGGCCCAAGGGGATGGGGAACACCCCGGGCAGGGGGAGGTTGGGTGATCCCACTGTTTCCCAGAGTTTCTGAGAAGTTCTTTATCACCAGAGCTGAGTCACGACACCTGCCATGGCACTGAGCCCCAAAATGGAGCTGCTCAGCCTGGAAAAACTGCACTGGAATATCGGGAATTGGGGGGAGGTGTGGCCCAAGGGGATGGGGAACACCCCGGGCAGGGGGAGGTTGGGTGGCCCTGCTCTTTCCCAGCATCCACAGTAATTTTTTAGCAGTTCTTTGTCACCGCAGCTCGCTCTCAGATGCGTTCAGGGCTCTGTCACCTCCCAGGGAAGGACACAAAGTGCTCTGAGCTTTGAGGCAAAATATTGACACAGGCTGAGCTGAGACGGAGATTAGGCGCGGACAGCAGGGAAGGGCATTCCTCATCCTCCTCCTCTTCCTCCTCCTTTTCCTCTGGAATGGGAATTCTCTGCTGGAAACAGGGTGGTGGGGACAGGCAAAGGCTGACCACGTCCCTGCTGCTCTTTGCTGTCCCTTTTGCTCCCTGCAGGACCTGCCAAGGCAGAGCCATCAGGAACCTTCTGGGGATTTCCCGAGCTCTTGAGGATTCCCAGCATCGTTCCATGCCCAAAAGCTTGGCTGGAAGCTGGCAGCAGGTCTGCAGGCACCTGGAACACTCCTGCCCATTCCCAGAACACCAGCAGCAGGAATTTCCACTTGCTGGAAGGGGTGTGTGTGGCTGTGCCTTTGTTTTCCGGAAAGCTGGAGCTGGGGCTGAAGAAAAATCCTTTAACTGGGTGATAACGACGGCGTTTGGCTTTTTATCACTGTCCCGTGTTTGGTGTGGGGGTCAGGAGGGAAATCAGGGTGGATGCGGGGACATTGCTGCCCTGCCAGGGCCAAGGCCGGCTGCAGGATCGTGCTGCAAGGAGCACTGAAAGCTGGGGCAAGGAGATCCATGATCCCCCTGTGGTCCCATTCCAAAGGGATGTAGGATCCTGGTGCTAAGGGATGCAGGATTCTAGTCCAAGGAGCTCCACAATCCCCCTGTGTTCCCGAAGGAAATGAAAGAAGGATCCTGGTCCAAGGAGCTCCATGATCCCCCTGTGGTCCCATTCCAAAGCGATGTAGGATCCTGGCGCTAAGGGATGCAGGATCCTGGTCCAAGGAGATCCATGAGCCCCCTGCGGTCCCATTCCAAAGCGATGTAGGATCCTGGCGCTAAGGGATGCAGGATCCTGGTCCAAGGAGATCCATGAGCCCCCTGCGGTCCCATTCCAAAGCGATGTAGGATCCTGGCGCTAAGGGATGCAGGATCCTGGTCCAAGGAGATCCATGAGCCCCCTGCGGTCCCATTCCAAAGGGATGTAGGATCCTGGCGCTAAGGGATGCAGGATCCTGGTGCAAGGAGCTCCATGACCCCCCTGTGGTCCCAGACCAAAGGGATGCAGGATCCTGGTGCAAGGAGCTCCACGATCCCCCTGTGTTCCTGAAGGAAATGAAAGAAGGATCCTGGTGCAAGGAGCTCCATGATCGCCATGTGGTCCCAGCCCAAGGGGATATAGGATCCTGGCCCACAGGGATGTAGGATCCTGGTCCAAAGGGAAGCAGGATCCTGGTCCAAGGAGCTCCAGGATCCCCGTGTGGTCCCAGACCAAAGGGATATAGGATCCTGGTCTGAAGGGATGTAGGATTGTGTCCAAAGGGAAGCAGGATCCTGGTCCAAGGAGCCCCACGATCCCTGTGTGGTCCCAGCCCAAAGGGATATAGGATCCTGGTCTGAAGGGATGTAGGATTGTGTCCAAAGGGAAGCAGGATCCTGGTCCAAGGAGCTCCAGGATCCCCCCGTGTTCCTGATGGAAAGGGAAGCAGGATCCTGGTCCAAGGAGCCCCACGATCCCTGTGTGGTCCCAGCCCAAAGGGATATAGGATCCTGGTCTGAAGGGATGTAGGATTGTGTCCAAAGGGAAGCAGGATCCTGGTCCAAGGAGCTCTACCATTCCCGTGTGGTCCCAGACCAAAGGGATGTAGGATCCTGGTCCAAAGGGAAGCAGGATCCTGGTGCAAGGAGCCCCACGTTCCCCCGTGCTCCTGACAGAAAGGGATGCACCATCCTGCCTCACGGGACTGCACCTCCACCGCACCCCTCCCCCCCACCCGACCCGTTTTTGGGGTGGAAACACCCACTTTGGAGGAGAAAAAAACCTCCAAACACTTTTGGGGAGGGCGCCTCCCCGCTTTCCAGGGAAGGGAAGCGCCAAGCCCAAACTCCTGCGGCCGGGCGGGGACTACAAGTCCCGGCAGGCGCGGACTGCAGCTCCCGGCGTGCCCGGGGCCGGCGGAGCGGAGCGAGGGCAGCGGAACGGGCCGGGCCGCGCCGGGCCGGGCGGGCGCTGCTGCTGCCCTCCCTCGGCACGGGGCCGAGCCGGGCCGAGCCGAGCCCAACCGGGCCGGGCTGCGCTGAGCAGAGCTGAGGAGCCCGACAGAACCGAGCCGGGACGAGCAGAGCCGAGTGGGGCCGAATTGAGCCGAGGAGTCGAATCGAGCGCAGCCGAACCGAGCCGAGTGGGGCCGAACTGAGCTGAGCAGAGCCGAGGAGCCGAACCGAGTCGGACCGAGCTCAGCCGAGTGAGGCCGGACAGAGCCGAACCGATCCGAGCGCAGCCGAACGGGGCTGAACCGCGCCGAGGGGCCGAACCGAGCCGGGCCGACAACAGCCGAGTGAGCCCGAACCGACCCGAGCGCGGCCGAACGGGGCTGAACCGGGCCGAGAGCAGCCGAGCGGGGCCGAGCAGACCCGAGCGGAGCCGAACGGGGCTGAACGGCGCCGAGGGGCCGAACCGAGCCGGGCCGAGCGCAGCCGAGCGAGGCCGAGCAGACCCGAATCACTTCGTCTCCTCGCCGTTCCCCACGGGTGAGTGCGGGGCCGGGGGTCCCGGGGGTCCTCGGGCAGCGGAGCCCACCTTGGGGGGGTGTTGGGGTGCTCCCCCCTGTCCTGCGTCGTCCCGGGGCGCTTTGAACTCGGAGTTGTTTTTTTTTCCCCTTATTTTGCTGTAAATAATCGCCCCCCCCGCGCCCCTCCGGCTCCAGCGCGGCTGCTGCGGGGGTTTTGGGGTCTCCAGCAGCTCGTCCCGGTGCCCTCTCCCAAAAACCGGCGGTTCTGGGGGCTGTGAGACCCCCGGTAGCTCGGGGGGACCTGCCCGGGTCGCCTTTCCCATCGGGAACCCCCCCGAACACGGTGGGGAAACTGAGGCACGGATGCTCCGGGATTCCCTGCACCCCCCGGTTTGGGGGACGCAAAGTGGGGACCCCTCTTGGGGTCTGAAAAGGTGGGAAATTGGGATACCTCGTGTCACCCGGCTTTTAGGGGGGGTCACCAAGAGGACACACAGCGTGGTCCCCCCCCTCCCGGGGAATTTGGGGGGGAATAGAGGGGGCTGCCCCGGAGCGATTAATTACATTCATGAATTAATTACGAAGCAGGAAAGGATTACGCAGCCCCCAGAGCTCCGGGCAGTCAGATGATGGGGGAAATTTCCTTTAAAAAAACCCAAAAATCCAACAACAAAAACCCAAAAAAAAAAAAAAAAGAATAGAAACACGAAGAAAATCTGGTGGTGATTGTGCTGGTGTAAGATAAATAAATAATCCGGTGCGAGTCTGGGGAAAGCAGGGCCCGTTTCCAGGAATCCCGGCGTGTTCCCGGCCCTTGGGGCACGGGGGGAGTTGGTTTTTTATATAACAGATCCTGCAGGCAGCGAAGGCAGCTTTGGGGGGGTTATTTTTTCTTTTTCCCCCCCCCTTTCTCTGTACTTCCCTGCCATGTTTGCTTGGCTTCATGCACGGCTGCTCCGAGCCGGGAATGGGGCTGGTTTGTGCCAGCCCGCTCTGCCTCACCTGCTGCTGGAAGGTGGGAAAGCCTAGCTGGGAATTTGGGATTGGGGTGGTGGGATTTGGGGGGGACACCCGGCTTGGGCTGGGGGTGGCTCAGGGCAGCACGTGGAGGGGAGCCCGGTGTTTTCCGAGGGATTCTGGGTTTGTTTCCTGAGGGATGCCAGCCCCGCATGTTTTGTGTTTTCTGAAGGATGTTGGGTTTGTTTCCTGAGGGATTCTGGGTTAATTTCCTGAGGAATTCTGGGTTTGCTTCCTGAGGGATTCTGGGTTTGCTTCCCAAGGGATGCCAGCCCCGCGTGTTTTGTGTTTTCTGAAGGATGTTGGGTTTGTTTCCTGAGGGATTCTGGGTTAATTTCCTGAGGAATTCTGGGTTTGCTTCCTGAGGGATTCTGGGTTTGCTTCCCAAGGAATGCCAGCCCCGCGTGTTTTGTGTTTTCTGAAGGATGTTGGGTTTGTTTCCTGAGGGATTCTGGGTTATTGCTTCCCGAGGGATGCCAGCCCCTCATGTTCTGTGTTTTCCAAGGGATGCTGGGTTTGTTTCCTGAGGAATTCTGGGTTAGTTTCCTGAGGAATTCTGGGTTTGCCTCCTGAGGAATGCTGGCACTGCTTGTTTTATGATTCCTGAGGGGTTCTGGGTTTGTTTCCTGAGGAATTCTGGGTTAGTTTCCTGAGGAATTCTGGGTTTGCTTCCCGAGGGATGCCAGCCCCTCATGTTTTGTGTTTTCCGAGGGATTCTGGGTTCATTTCCTGAGGAATTCTGGGTTTGCTTCCCGAGGGATGCCAGCCCCTCATGTTTTGTGTTTTCCGAGGGATTCTGGGTTCATTTCCTGAGGAATTCTGGGTTTGCTTCCCGAGGGATGCCAGCCCCTCATGTTTTGTGTTTTCCGAGGGATTCTGGGTTCATTTCCTGAGGAATTCTGGGTTTGCTTCCCGAGGGATGCCAGCCCCTCATGTTCTGTGTTTTCCGAGGGATCTGCCCGCCCTTATCAGTAGGAAACTGCAGACTGTGCCGGGGTGGAGCTGCTGCACGGGGCCATCCAGCATCCGGGTGTTTGGGATGGAGCTGTGAGCCCAGCCAGGGATTTTATTGCTTTTTCCACGCTTCACAGCGCCCACGTGTGTGCTCCTGGTCCCCCTGCCCTGCCCTGTTTTCCTGGAAGTGCTGTGGGAAATGGGAAGAGCCCCTTGGGATGTTGTGGTGGGTCACCAGAGCAGGGGGGACATTCCCAGGGCTGAGGGTGGGGTGGCCTGAGCAGCACAAAAAACAGGGAAATGAGGCTGGGGGGGCCACGCTGGGGGTGTCCCCCTCCGAAAATCCACAGTGCTGAGGGTAAAAACATCCTCATGTGGCGGAGTGGGGTCTGGAGTGATGGAATCTCATCCCTGGATTTGATGTTTCTCCCTCCTTTCCCTGGGCGTAGACAGCAGGGATGGAGCTGCCACACCCCTGTCCCCTCTGTGGGGACAAAACCTCCCATCTGGAGTTTTTGGGGTGGCTTTAGAGGGCACCTCAAGCTGGACTCTGCTGAAGGGAGCTGTTTTGTCAGTGCCCTGTGTGGGGTTATCCCATATCCCAGAAAAAGGGGAAGTTCTGGGGCCAGCAGCAGTGTCCTGGGCGTGGGGGCTGGCAGTGCCACCACATGTCCCTGTGGCAGCATGCTGGTGGTGGCAGCTCTGTGACAACTTCCCAGACCCCTGTTTGCTGTGAGGGACCCCAGGAGGACCCCAGAGGATCCCAGGAGGATCCCAGAGGATCCCAGGGAGCCAGCACCGGGTGTTTCACAACCCCATAAAAGAGCAGGGGGTGCTCAGAGGTGCCAGGTGTGCTGTCACCTTCCCGTGGTGGCACCACCTCCAGGAGCTTTTCCAACCTCTGTGGAGGGCAGCTGGGGTCACACTGGTGACTCCGTGGCCGTTGTCACCAGCTCTGTGACACTTGGGGGGCGTCAAAGGGGGGATTTCTCCCTGACCACACCGGGATTATTTCCGGCTCATCTTTTTTTCCTCTCGCTGTCACATCCAGGAGGAGCCCCCATGGCTCTTCCCTCATCCCTTCCAGATTCCTGTCCCTGCTCCTGGCGCCTGGCTGGTGCTTGGAGCAGGTTTTCCCTGCGGATTTACCCAGGAATTCCCAGGAATGGGGAGTCCCGTGCTCCGGGATGAGCTCTGGGTGCTGCTCCTCACCTTCCTGGGAGGCTGAGAAAATCAGGAGTGGGGGATTCTCCATCTCTGGGGGCCCAGGAGCAGTTCTGGGGGGGTTTTGGGAGGGGTGAGCTGCAGGAGCGTTGGGATGGGCACCTGGGGTGATTTTCAGCGGGTGCAGGGTGGGATCACCTGGCCGGGCTCACCTGGGGAGGGTTCAGGGTCTCCCCAATGTCCCTACAGGTTGTGCCACCTTCTCTTTAAAGCCTCTTCTAGGAATTGCCCCCGGGGTTTTGTCACCTTTCCTGGGAGCTCTTTTTGGCTCCAAACAAACTCCCCACACCCTGAGCTCTGCCTGGCTCCCCTCTTTTGGTTGAATGGGTGTAAATTCCGGATAAACCTGAAATTCCCATTCTGGGGACAGCCAGGGGGGTTCTTGGAGCCTCAGGGGGGTTCTTGGAGCCTCAGGGCCCAGCGAGGGCAGCTGCGCTGGCTCCTGCCCAGGCTGTGCCCTCGGGATTATTTTGGGAGTGGGAACATTTTGGAGGAAATGAGGAGGGGGCTGCACCCACCTGCCAGCATTTCCCTGCTCCCAGCTCGCTGCCAGCTGAGGAGGGAGCTGGCTGCCAGCAGGTTCGAGCATTTTGGAGAAACTGAGCAGGTGAAGGAGAAATCCCAGCTGGGTGGGGGGGAAAAAAAAAACCAAAAAAACCCTCGGAGCTCCTGCACGGGTCCAACCGGAGCGACGTGCCCGGGAGAGGCGGCACCGTGCCAGGCCAGGGGCTGGGCTGGCACCAGGGGCTCCCGAGGGAGCAGTTTGACCTTCAGGGAGCAGGAAAAGCTCCGGGCTGAGCCTGGCAGAGAGGAGGGCACAGCGCAAACCCCTCCGGAGCGGGTGAGCTGGGCACGGGAGGCGATGCCAGGGTGGGCACGGAGAGCCCCTGGATGGGGCTGGTTTGGGAGGGCAAGGCAGGGGCTGTCCCCAGTTTGTTTATTCCTGGGGGCTGGTTACACCAGCTCTGCCTCCACCGAGGCTCCGGGCTGGCTGCTGGGGGCTGGACGCGGCGTATTTATAAATATTACATCCCTGCAGCAGCACGGGGCTCCGAGGGAGGGAGCAGGGATGGAGGCGGCGCTGGGAGAGCCTGTGGCACTGGCAGGGGACAGGGGGTGGCCGCTGTCACCTTGGGCTGCTGGCAGGTGCCACCGTGAGCTTGGGGCGCCTGCAGCTCCGGGGCCGGTTCTGTCGAGCATCGCCCCGTTCTGGGTGGTTTGCCCCACTTTTTGGGGTGATTTCTCCCCACTTTCCGGGTGGTTTCTCCCCACTTTTTAGGATGATTTCTCCCCACTTTTTGGGGTGATTTCTCCCCACTTTATGGGTGGTTTCTCCCCACTTTCTGGGTGGTTTCTCCCCACTTTTTAGGATGATTTCTCCCCCCTTTCTGGGATGATTTCTCCCCACTTTTTAGGATGATTTCTGTCCCCTTTCTGGGATGATTTCTGTCCCCTTTCTGGGATGATTTCTGTCCCCTTTCTGGGATGATTTCTGTCCCCTTTCTGGGATGATTTCTCCCCACTTTCTGAGGTGATTTCTCTCCACTTTCTAGGGTGGTTTGTCTTCCTTTTCTGGGGTGGTTTCTCCCCACTTTTTAGGATGATTTCTCCCCACTTTCTGGGATGATTTCTCTCCACTTTCTGGGGTGATTTCTCCCCCCTTTCTGGGATGATTTCTCCCCACTTTTTAGGATGATTTCTGTCCCCTTTCTGGGATGATTTCTGTCCCCTTTCTGGGATGATTTCTCCCCACTTTCTGAGGTGATTTCTCTCCACTTTCTAGGGTGGTTTGTCTTCCTTTTCTGGGGTGGTTTCTCCCCACTT